CCCCCTTCTATTCCAGTATGGGGACCCCCCGCACAGTTATAACTAGGCCTCTCAGGCTGCTCTGCAACAGCGCCCTGCTATTCCAGTCATAGGACATATCCTAGTGCTGTCAAGGCATCTTGGACATCCCGAGCTATCCCAGCTATTCCCACAAGGCCCTTCCCTGTACTCAATGCCCCTTTGCTATCCCAGACCATCCCCTGAGCAGATATGCTAGCACCCACTCCCAGAAGAAGCCAGGTGCCAGCTAAGAACTAGGCAGCAGCCATCCAACTCAATGAAACTGTCACTCAAGCTAGTGAGATTTAGCACCTGAGCTCCTAAGATGTGATGCCACTGATGAGTCCACTGAGTCATGCTCCATTCTCTCCCACCACCCAAGCTCCATCTCCCCAGCTAGCAAGCTCTGGACAGCAAGTCTGGCTGTCTGGCTGGGGAAGGTGGACCAGGATTTGCCAGGAGCCCCTCTCCACCCCATTCACAGTTCGGCTGAACTGATGAACACGTCACTCCCTCTGCCGTGGCGCCACCCCTGAGAGTCAACCTGCTCATCGGTCTAATGGGCTTCAAAGGGGGGAGTGAGTGGCTGATGCTTCTCAGCCACTCAGCTCGGCCCGGAGCTAACGAGGCATCTTGAAATTAAAAAGTGAACTGCAATCCCCAGCAGGCCTGTCCTCCTTTTGGCATTAGTTGGAGTTCTCTTTCTATCTCAGAGAGCTGGGGAGCAGTGAGCGGCATTCAGATCTGTCGAGGCACTGTGTCCTGAGTGGTGCACAGGGATACTGGGATGGGGAGGGCCTGTGCCTTAGGAAAGATGGTGTGGGGGGTCCTTTCAGTGAAGTCAGGCCCCCCGGAGAGATTCCCTTTGGGGAGTGTTTTCTTTTCTGGGGGGGCAGAGGGGAACTATCACTGATTGGCTGGTTTCTAACTCTCTGGCCACCCATTTACCTCACATCAATAGAGCAGCATGGAGGGAATACAGAGAAGATAAAACATGGGATACAGGGAGCGGGGAGAGGTAGTGTGTGTGTGTGTGTGAGGGAGGGAGGGAGGGAGGGAGAATTTGGGCTTGTAGTGAGAGGGGGCGGGCAAGTGTGTGTGTTTGAGGGAGAGGAATTTGGGTCGTAACTTGGGGCTGGTGAGAGGGCGGAGGGTGTGAACAGTAGTGGCTCTATCATCCCTGGTATGGATGGGGATACAGAGATCTGTTTGGAGTACCATGCAACAGAAAGTGGGATAAAATTGTGCATATGAGAAAGACAGAGAGCAGGACCTGGGGGAATTGGACTGTAATAAGGGGAGGGCAGGATGCTACTGGGCCAGAGAAAAGCACCGTGACTCTTTGAAAAGTCTGAAGTGTGCTCTGGCAGCTCCTTATTGCCAGGTCAAGGTGCAGCAATGGTGTGTGGGAGCATAGTGAGGGTGGACATGCACTAACAGATAATACCACAGGGATGACAAACTGGTATCACTGACAACTCTAGAGTGCAGCTTGGCCAGCCACAGCAGCTCTGTGCATGAGACCTGCAAGGGGAGTCCTGGTTGTCAGGAGGAACTGTACTTAGGCTCGGATCCTCTAAGGTATTTAGGCACCTAGTTCAATTGCTGTGAGGTAGCTGAATATTGTTGAGGTTCTAGGCCCTTGTGCCTCCCTGATCTTTGGCATGAGGGTGGGGCGTGGGGTCAGAGCAAGCACAGATGCCCATAGGTCCCTGCTGGGAGCCAGCCTAACCCCTCTGATTGCTTGTGGGCCTGAGTTCTGAGGTACTTTCCTGGCTCCTACATATCCCTGGGAGAAGGGAGCCTTGCTCCCAGACAGCTTCCTGGATCTTACCCAAGGTGTAATTTTCCAGCTTCATCTACTATTTACGGGATAGGGTGGAAACCTCAACCCCTCCATGGCAGGGGTATGAATGAGATAGAAAACACAGTGAGCCATATTCATCCCCTGATGTGACAGCACAGGCCTCAGTAGAATTGCCTCAGGGACAGATTTGGCCCAATGTCTTGGGGACCCAGATAACTGTGGGGACTGGTGCTGGTACATGGAGACTTTCACCTCCAGCTCACTAGGTTAACGATGACCGAGATGTGTCGCCATCTCCTGACTGCTGGGGGACCCTTACGTGGTCCTGAGGCTCAGTCTAATTCCTACCGCTACAATCAGTTCTCTTATTTCAGGCTGTGCAGGGACAGATGCAGGGGACCGAACCATCCAGAGATGCTGAACACCCCTTTCAATCCGAGAGTGGCAATGGCACCGTGTGGGAGAAGCTTTCACTGCCTGCTCAGACTCGGAGCCCCGTGGGGCTAGTCTCTAGTGCTATTGATCCCTTCAAAACAGGGGGAAAAAAGGAACTGAGCCTTTTATAATAAAGTTGGGAAAGCAACAATTAAACACAGGAGTGGGGGCCTCTCTCTTGTTCTCTGCTTTTATTATGGAGATCCAATGAGCACATTGCAAATGTAGGTGGAAAATCAGATATCTTCTCATAGGTTTTAATGTCAGAAGGGGCTGTTATGAGCCACTGGTCTGACCACCTGCATTGCAGTGGTCACAGCACATCACCCAGCAATTCCTGCATCAACCCCAGGTCTATTCTTTCAAACCAGCTAAAGAGGGACAGTGTGCGTCATGGGGTTGCTCTGCTGGATGGCCACTCAAGTGGGACAAAGCACCAGATCTGTCTTTCAACTGATCATGCATGACTCCCTGCCCGCTCTGGACCCCTGAGCCATGCTCCATGGGGAGACAGGATAGCCAATCCTCCACAATCACCACTGCCCTCACCCTCCATCCATTCATGTTGCCCCTGCACAGAGCTGGATCACCTATTGTGTTTTACCGTATCCTAATAATCCCAAAGGCTTACTAGGCGGTTTTCTTGCCATTTTTATGGCATCTCTGAAGTTCTCCACACATAAAATGTGATTGCACCAACTTCTGTGACTGGGGCCAGCCAGCTAATAGGGAATGCTTTGTGTTTCCCTGATAAATCTTTTTCATCAAACCCTCCTGTATTCCAGATTCAAAGAGGTTCCATTACCTCCTGCTCGCTTGCTGAGCACTGCTACCCTCCCAAAGCTGTGTCCATTGAAGTGAATTCCAGGATGTATCACTTTGCACTGTGCAAAAGTCATTCTATACGGGAGAGTCTCTCCCCACCTGAAGCCCTCCTTTGGGCTGGTCTACACTGGGGGGGGAGATCGATCCAAGATACGCAACTTCAGCTACGTGAATAGCGTTGCTGAAGTCCAAGTATCTTGTATCGAATTGCCTGGGGTCCACACGGCACGGGATCGACGGCCGTGGCTCCCCCATCGACTGCGCTACCGCCTCTCGCTCTGGTGGAATTCCGGGGTCGACCGTGAGCGCGTTCGGGGATCGATATATCGCGTCTTAACGAGACGTGATATATCGATCCCAGATAAATCGATTGCTACCCGCCGATACAGTGGGTAGTGAAGACATACCCTTAGAGTCTGCATTTCAGCAGCTGATTATACTGCTCCTGCCCTTCTGAAAATCCCATTCCACCAGCAGTGATGAGAGACAAGCATGAAACTGGGGTAGAAAGAGAGTCTGTGAGGTGGAGGGAAGTCTGAAATGATTGATAGATAGAGCGATCATAGCTAGTTTATGGAGCAGAGAGAAACTGGGATGCTTAAGGACTGATTCAAAGCTCTTGGAAGCCAGTGGGAATCTTCCCATTGACTTCAGTGGGCTTTGGATCAGGCCTGTAATGGGAGACCTCTGTCCCACACCATCACTGGCACATTTTCCCCTTGAAACCAAGAACATGAATCTGCTTTTCAGCAGTTGTCTCCAGAAGGGCCACTCAGTCCTCTGCAACTCCCAGAACTTCTGAGATAAACTCCTACCTACAGGGAAAGGGAAATTATCACCCAACTAAGGCCAAAAATAACCAAATCAAGGTAAGTCCAAGCGAAAGTGCTCCGACACTCACATCATAGTCTAGTTCCTACTACTAAGTGGCCGCCAATAAATACCCACCGATGGGGCTTCACGGCCCTGAAATTATTTCCCCACCCACCCAAAAAGGAAAAGAAGCCCCCTTTCTCTCTTCCTCTTTTTTAATGCCTGGGGGGCTGGAAAGCTTTGCCCGTGGGAATCAGCAGACAGGAATGTCCCCTACCAAATGGCAGTGAGATCGCCATCTCTGGAAGGAATATTTCATTCTGCATCCGTAGCAGGAGGCACAGAGCATTCCAGAGAGACCACGTTAACTTCCCGTACCACATCAGCTGGTATCCTGACAGACAAACCATCAGCCTGGCCAGCGGACGGTCTGACTAACTCGGGGACAAACTGCAAAACTCTCTGTACGCAGGGGGAGGCTAGCTACAGCATTATACCATGTGGTGGAGGGAGCAGAGGGAGATATCCAGTGAGCCAATGTCACAGTGAAGCCTCTACAGAAATGACAGAGTCCATGATATACAGACTGTAGGGTTGCTGGGGTTTTTCTTAAGCTTTTGGCAGCCCATGAGTGAGGTTAAACCCAGAGCAACACAGTTTATCCAACTGCCGGACGGCCTGTTACAGGGGTCAGCAGCCAGCGAACGATCCCAGAATGCCAAACACCGGGACACACATACTGGTAGAGAAAGGGCGAGAGCAGAGGAGAGACAGGGGCAGGGGGAGCAGAGATGTGAGAGAGAAAGGAAATGGGGAGGAGGCCAGGGAGAGCACAAGGAAGGATTTATAGAGAGAATGACAGACAGAGAAAGAAAACGGCGGGAGAGAGGGCAAAGGAAGCACAAGGAGAGAGAGCATAGGAAGTGGGGGGAGGGCAGAGCAAACAGCAGAGGAAGAGAGAGTGGGAGCATGGAGAAGGGAAAATCTCACAGGTTGATACATGTTGCTAGCAGCTGAACAGGTAGCACCGACATATGGAGCAGTTGGCCTCTAGTGCCTCTGCTCCATTTCCTCCAATTGCAAACTACCCCAGCGCGAGAGAGAACATGGATCACCATACCTCCGAAGTCGGGTCTGAGGCGGACGTCATACCCCTTCAGCAATTTGTCCACAATCTCTTTCACCACAGAAATATTCCCAGTGGATTGGCTGAAACAGAGAAGAAGAAGAAGTCCTTGTCATCGTCCCCACACAGGAGAGGCATGTGGAGGGCCTAGGCAAAGGGCAGACACATTCCCTGGCTTGCAAGCCGAACCCTGGTGTGCATGCACAGATGCACACACACTCCCTGCCTCACACACGAGCTTTTCCTCTCACAAACACCCCCTCCCTGTCTCTCTCCCAGTCGTAGCCCTCCTCTCTCACACACACACATGCACTCACTGTCTTGCACGCACACAGCTATCCTCGCACTCTTTCACACTGCACACACCCTATCAAATACAAGCCCAGTTGGAGGCTGCTGGGGATCCCATACTTTCGGGACATCCACGCAGTTTAAAAATCCTGTGAACCAATCCCTGGAGGGGGTGGCACACAGGGGCTACTAAATGGGCACTGTAGATACTCATTCTCTTTCTACCACTGCACACACACACTCTTCCCCACTTACTGTCCCTGTCACATACACCCACACTACACTATACACTCATAGCCTCCATCTTTGTCACACTCCACAGCCTTGCAACTTCCTTCTCACTCACACACCCCTTGTGTTCTCTCATACTGTACACACACTCACTCTCACACACTGTACACAAATCTGCATCCTCTACCATACACACATACAGGGCTTCCACACTCTAGTCACACACACACACTGTATCTCTGTCAAACACACAAAGTATACACAAATTTGCCCTCTCTGTTACACACTTCCATGCGCTGCCTCCCTCTCACCCTGCACACACACTTCATCTCCAACACAATAGCCACTTTCTGTCCCTCACACACACTATATACAAATCCAGACTTCTCACACCTAATACACACTAAACTCCCCATGATATTCACTCCATGCCCAAACACATTCATCTATACAATCTCCTTTTTGCATTCTGTGCAACCAGGCATTCTCTCATGTTAGCCACACACCGAAGAACTCTCCTCCTACACACACACCATAGATCTATGATCTTTGGCCTCTGCGAATAAATATTACACAGCAGCTTCTAATATCTTCTTAGCAACACAGACCTGGAGAGAGAGAGAGAGAGAGAGAGAGAGAGAGAGGAAGAGTCCATCTTTGGCTCGGTATGCCTAGATAATGATATTTTCCCTACCAAGCCCTGTGTTTTCTATCTGGATGTTAGGTAGCCTCCATTGCTACTGGAGTTCCAATTCCTTCCAGACATATGAACGAGAGGGCTCTCCTGCTATAAATAGTCCTAGAGGCAAGGAAAGTGCTGGTGGAACATTAGGAAGGAAGGAAGAAGCTACAAGAATGAAGCTCCATAATATATGTAAGTGAAGATTGTTTCCACTTGAGTGACCCCCAAACCCAACCATAGTCCCAGCTCTATCCAAGGAATAAGTCTTGTTTTCCAGAGAGCTTGGGTACACATACCATCATCAAACAACATTCTTTGCAATCCTAGGTTAAACTCCAAATCCCATGAAAAAGACACATCTTTCAGGCCATCTTTCCTTCCACAGCAGATCCATCTAGGATGTAAAGCTGCAACACAATACTACCCCTTCCAGCCAATCTTGGTGTCTCCCTGGAGCTGGGGGGTTGTGTTGACATGTCCGCATGCCCCGGGTGGGTGCTTGTGCATGTCTTTGTACGCATCTGGCTGTGATTTATGCTTATGGATTTACTGTACGTGAACATGGATCTACATGGACATGAGTGCTCGAGTCAGTGTGTGTGACGTGTGTGCAGAGATCTGTATACACAGGTTTGTGTATGGACCTGGATTCTCATGCAACTCGATCTGAGTGCATGGATCAGCATATGGACGGCTGAGTCTGGGTAAAAATATAGATCTATGTATGTATGCTGTAAATTTGGGTGCACAGATATGTGTGCGTGTATAATATGTGTGTGTGTGTGTGTGTGTGTGTGTGTGTGTGTAGGTGCATTAATCTGTGGGTACAGGTGTATGGATATTAGCGCATGAGTCTGGGTCTAGGAACATGGGTAAATTGACCGGTGTGTGCATGTGTTATTGATCTGGATGCATGAGCCTGTGTGTGTGCCTGGATTTTCAATGCATACACCTTCAACAGAATGTGTATGTGTGAACATAAACCAACATATTTATCTGGGCACAATCTAGGCACACAGATAAACTGTTCAGGGAATATGCTGATGGCCGTGTGTATATGAGATGGGTTTCCTATACATGTACCCCATTTATTTATGTATGTCTTTACACAAGTATACAGGAAAATGCAGATGTGTACATTCTCATACACTAGTCTGTGCATATATAGGTTATGGACATTTGCATAGATAAGTATATACCACATGCACATGTGGATTTATGTGTGTCTGTGCATGTATTTGTGCGTGTACATGTACACAACTAGGTGCATGGGTTTTCATATATGTATATAATAATCAAAATGCTTCAGGCTTATAGAATGCTTTCCTCAATGGAATTTACAATATTTATTTATCCCCACAACAAGCCATGAGGTCAGAAAATATCATTACTTCCATTTTACAGACAGGGAAACTAAGGCAGGGACAGAGTACACAATATACCCAAAGTCACACAGGAAGTCTGTGGCAGAATTGGGACTAGAACCCCGATGTTCCATTCTTTCAAACAAACTACAAGTATATCCCACCAAAGTCAATGGAAAAGAAAAAATAGGGCCAAGGTCTCCTGCCGCTCAATCCTGTGCCTGTACTGTAAGGCCATCCATCTTCCTCTGAACAAACAATCGGTGTAATTACACAGGATTTGTGTGTGTGTCTGTAGCTAAGAGTAAAATCTTTATGAACATGGGTCTGTATCCATGTAGGATACATAGACATTCAATGTGTGAATTGTATCTTCGGATATTGTACATCTGACTTTGAGGGGGTGCATGTGCACTGTACATGTATGTACACACCCAAATGTATGGATCCTGTATGTGTGTGCAAGATGCTTAGTGAGCACGGATGTGTGCGTGTACATTACATGTAGGAATTTACTTTCATGTGTGTGTGATGGGTATGTGTATACAGTATGTGAACCTGAATCTATGCATATGCAGGTGTAAACAAACACGTGCATGGGCATATATGAGTAGGCAGGATCCACATGCGCATGTGCGTTTGCATGAGTGTGTATATTTTTCAGTGTACAGTGTATGTGTCATGCATTAAACAGTAGGAGGGAAGGGATGTGTGTGTGGGCATGGATCTGCACATGTGCATATGTGTATGCATCTGTGTCTTTGTGTAAATAGAGAACATAGATCTCGGTATATACACAGATGTATGTTTGTGCCTGGATCTGTAGATGTTGTAATGTAATGCAATATTATATATGCAAGGATGTGTGAGTATATATCTAATACATAATCACCCTGTCTATTAATGCACTGATGAGTGCATTCTATGTAAATGCACATATGTGTGAACTGAAAATGAGTGTGTATACACTTTATGTGTGTGTTCAGTGGACAAATACTTATGCATACATGCATAGATGCACTCCAAATACATTGTCCACTATGGATGTGTGTACATGTGTGAATGCATGGATCTCTTGTGTCCATATATATAGTCATATATTTGCATGTATGTATGCAATACATTACTAAGTAGGCATCTATGGACACATGCATTGCATTGCACATCTAGTATACTGTCCACAGAATATGTGATATGATATACTGCATGAATATACACGTGTGAGTATATATGATGCATACCTGCATAGATGTGTGTGTGCGCATTGGACATAAATGCATATGGTTATATTTACATGTGTGCATGCAATGAATAAACCTGTATGCATGATGGATGGATGCATTGCATCTGTAATGTACACTGTATAGCTGTGTGAAGGCACACATGCATGGAAGTGTGTGATTGTGGTTGCATGTGCACTGTGTGTGTACAGACACAGGCATGGCTATGTCAGGGGGTATGTTTGTTTTTGCATGTATCACTTATATATACAGACCGGTGCTTGTGTTTAGTTCCATCTCTGCTCGCTGGACACCATGTTCCCCAGCACAAGGCTTCATTTTGTCAATTCCCCCCAATTCGCGTCAGTTTCGCTTACAGTAGGAGACTCTGATGCAAACGAGCTGCGAGGTGAGCTCCGTCTGCAGAGAGCTTGCTCTAGATCCCATGCATGAGCACCCCTCCTCCCCCTAAAATGTAACTGACTAGGAAATAAGAAACAGCAGGCATCAGGAAAGCAATTTGGGGGAAAGACCCCCCACCACCACTACCACCAAAGAAACCCAGCCCACTCCTTCAAGCCCCCCCATCTGTCCCTGCACCCTGGAAATCAAATCCTTACCTTTGCGCACAGCAGGCGAGACAAAGCGCTGCTAAAGCAGAGACAAATGCACTCAATCTGTCTGCCTGAAATCTCCACATTTCCACAAACACGATGGAGGAAAAAAATGTTTGGAGGGGAGGGGAAGATCTTCTGAAATCCCCCTCCAAACAAAACAAAAAAAAAGAAAGAAAGAAAGAAAAAGAAAAGAAGAAGAAGAAGACAACAAATAATTTCCTTTATTTTTAAAAAAAGCACAAGACCGTAAAAAAAAATATGGGGGAAATATATATTCCCCCTCCCTTCAGTGCCAGTCAAAGAATTCGCCTCTTCTTCCTTTCAGCATCCTCTCAACAAGAGACATCCTCTGGCAATGGAGAAAATCCCAAGAGAGAGAAAAATGAAATGTCCCCAAAATGGACTCAGCAAAATGTGGAATCAAATCTCACAGGTAAAAAAAGAAAAAAGAACCCGATCTCCCCTGAACTCTCCACTTTGATTATTTTCCCCCTGCTATTTTGCCATCCAGTTCTGCAGATGTTGCATGGCTCCTGTTATCCACCTTCAGAGAAGAGGAGGAGGAGAAAGTGTGTGTGTGTGTGTGTGTGTGTGAGTGAGTGAGTGTGTGGTTGGGGGGGAGGGTGAGAGTTATCTAGCAATTCAATTTTATTTTGGATTTCACCTACCCTTTACTCATCTGTTTGCCCTCCTCCTCTTTTTTTATTTTATTTTATTTTATTTTTATGAGGGGGGGCTTTCAAGCCCCAGGGTGCAATTTTATTTTATTTTACTTGCACCCTGATGCTGGTGATTTGGATGGATTTTGTGAAAGGGTTAAAAAAACAAACACAAACAAAAATAAAAATCCCTGTATGCAGAAAGAATTGCTCTCAAAATCAGAGCTGCATGTCTCCTTAATGCTGTTGCTGCAGCTCCTGTAGAGTTTTGCTGCTCATTGCAAAGTCACAAGAGGAGGGGAGAAGAGAGGGACTTTTGTAGATTGGGGAAAGGAAAAAAAAATCTATGGGCAAATTAGGATCCTGACGTCATGGCTGACAACATTAACCCCTGCTGGTTTGGAGAGGGGATTTTTTTGGGGCGGGGAGGAAATGTTGTTTTGGGGGGAGAGGATAAGTCTGGAGGAGAGACGGTTCAGTCGACAGAGCAGATCACTGCCGTGGCCATTTGAAATAGCCTGGTGAGCTCACGAAACCAAACCTTTTCCTTCAATGAGAGCACGGAGGAGAAGGAAAAGCACGAGTGCGTCTCTCTATCCCATGGGGCTAAGAGGCCTGATAGCATTCCCAGGAAGCCTTTGGGGAGAATTCCTAAAGGTTTCTGGCAGATGACAGAGAGAATCCGGGAGTTCCCCCAGGAAGGAGAGACAGTGACCCAGAAAAAGGTTCTCTCTTTCTTTTGGAATTAGACAGGAGCGGAGATATTGGCCCAACAAAGCACAAGTTTGGGGGTTTGAAATTCTGGAAGTGCTGCCAAGTGTCGGCTAATTATGCTGTGGATTTGCCCACTGAAATAGTAATGACACAAAGCAAACAGTCATCCTCATGATGCTTTCCTTATCAGCTATGGATCTTTTTCTAATAAAACCCTATGAAATAAAACAATAACCCAGCCCTGCTGGCTAAAATATGCAGCTACAGGCTTTCCTGGGGGGATTTTTTTTCCTGGGAACAGGGCATGAATTCTGGCAAGCCCTTGAATCCAGAGCCAGGTGGATGGCCTGTTTAAGAACATAAGAACTGCCAGGTTGGATCAGACCATGGGGCCAGCTAGTCCAGTATCCTGTCCCTCACCTCTACCAGCTGCTTCAGAGGACAGTGGACAAAACCCAGGATGTAGAAAGTTTCTTCCTAACCTCCTCAGGTAGAGGCTGGTTTATGCCCTGAAGCATGAGGGTTTATATCCTACCCAAACTCACGTTGGCCAAAAGGGAAATGCGTTTGTCACCATGGCTGAACTGGCCAATTCTTAGTGCTCCTCAAGCTTCTGTCCTGGGAACAGGCACATGGGAGCTGAAGATTGAACATGCAGATTCATTTTCTTCCGTCAGGCAGAACATTGCTGCAGAGGTGCTCCCTGCTCTGTTGATAGCTGGAAAGAGTTCCCCCCTCTTCTTTCCCCCAGGGCAGAGAATCCCCTGCCTTCCCCATGTCATAGCAGAGAAGATTAATCCCATCTCCTGTTTTTCAAGTGACTCCCCTCTCTCTTGCTTTACCTTTCCCAGAACAGAGATCCAACCCTATCAGCCCATGCTATGTTCTGTCCAACTCACACTATCGACAGATAACATTCAGTGATCGGGGAGCATAACTGATGGGACGTGGGCGGAACAAGGAAGAAACCTTGATGGTGAGGTGGTATCGAAAGCCAGGCAGGGCTGGTTTGGGGGACTGGCTGGGTTGGCAATTGAGTAGCCAGCAACGCAGCCTCTCTCTATTAGGTCACTGGTTCATATTCAGCCCAGGACAGCAGTGATTGCAAGCTGCTGCCCTGACAGCCGGTCACTGACCTGTGTCAAATGAGCTAGTGGTCTCTGTTTGCTAGGAAAGAGCCACTTACAAACCTGAGGTCAGTATCAACAGGCTTGCTGGCAGCCTCAGGCCAGGACACACCATGGAAATGGAAGTGCCCCAATAGGCTACTCCTCCAGGCCAGGGGCCAGGGTGAAGCATGCTCAGGGGCCGTGTGGAGAGAAGTCAGCAGGGCCTCTCTCCGGACTCTACCTAACCTGCAGAGAGAGGGTCCCACTTTCTGGGCCATTGGGGAAGGGGCAAATGAAGGACCCTGAGGACCCGGTCAGAGCCTCCCTTCTAGGACCAGTAGGGGGACAAGAACAGCAGCTTCTCGGGGTTCTGTGTGCTTTGTTCTGGGCCAGGTTTTTCAGAGTCCCACACAGAGATTAAAACAGATTGGAACAGGACGGGGACCTGTGCAGAGTGCTACTTACCCACATCAGGAGGACATGGTGGGAGGGGAAGTGATTATCCAGGCCAGGGGGAGGAAGGGGAGCTGCCCTCTCTGTGCTTTAATCCCATGGTGCCACTGTGACATTGCGATCGGAGCTGCCTCTCCCCGTCGCGACGCTGAATCAGCTGCGGCGTGATGCAGACTCATGACGGTATAGTGCAGGGTTAGGCAACCTAGGGCACGCGTGCCAAAGGCGGCACGCGAGCTGATTTTCAGTGGCACTCACACTGCCTGGGTCCTGGCCACCGGTCCGGGGGGCTCTTTATTTTAATTTAATTTTAAATGAAACTTCTTAAACATTTTAAAAACCTTATTTACTTTACATACAACAATAGTGTAGTTATATATTATAGACTTACAGAAAGAGACCTTCTAAAAATGTTAAAATGTATTACTGGCACGTGAAACCTTAAATTAGAGTGAATAAATGAAGACTCGGCTCACCACTTCTGAAAGGTTGCCGACCCCTGGTATAGTGTGTAATATTTCAACCCTGTGTTGTGCCATCACAGCCTGGACATTCATCCCTCCTGCCGACTTGAGACAAATACAAGCAAGTGGGACCCCTGGCAATGGGTTAGGAGACAGATATGTGTAGAAGAAGTGGGCTCTCTCATGACTGGGAGAAATTTAATCTCTAGAGGAGGTACCCGGGGGGGAGGGGATGGTCTCAGGTCAGGCATCACCCAAGGTCCACTGGGAAGGGAAGTGGAAATTCTATATGGTCAACCCCTATCCAAAACTCCTCCTATTCTCCTACTCCTCTGACATAGACATAGAGATCGGTCAAACCTAGATCATTGCACCTGACTGCTAGTAATGAAAATATTTAGGGGCATTTTAGCCCTAACCTGCCTTTGGCTAGCTACATGGGACACATGCCAAGCGGATTGTTAGCACCAGGGCTGTATGCACCCAGAACTTGCATTCTGTTTAATAGGAGATGAGCCCCAAAGTCAGCCAGTCAACCACATTTCTTCAACAAATGACATAATGACAACTTCTGTATATTTAGGCTTGGAACAATTCAATTCTTTTTATAACTTTGGCAGATAATAGTGATGTTTATTTTTAAGCATTTTTTTCCTATTTTTATCCTTTCAAATTTTCTCAGTTGCATAGAATTATGGGGCTTTAGCATTTTTTTCCAATTTTCATTGGTTTAAACTTTCAGATTTGTGGGAAATTACAGGGGATCAGTCAACAATTATTTTATGACAGCAGACGATGAGATTATAAGAGGTAAAGCTTTATAACCGGTATGTTAAAAGACAGACTGCCAACATCATGTGTCAAAATGGACAAAGTAAATATCCTTAAATCACACTCCAATGAAAAGCTCTCAAGTAGCATTTTACTTACTTTGACTGTCAGTAAATTTCGATTATCATCGATGGAAATATTTTTTTGTCGGTTTGTGTGTCTTCGGTGAAATCTACATTTACCGACACAAATGTAATCCTTCCAAGCCCACCTGTATTAAAGGCATGTGGTGTAACATGGCTAAGGAAGTACACTGGCACTGCTTGTCTACTGCAGTAGGGACACAGGAACTGGCAGAGTGGATCAGAATTATGCTCCCTTTAGGTCAATGTCCTGTCTCCTACAGGGGCCAATACCAGACAGGGTGGTGAACTGTGGGGCTTGTGCAAGGGGGACTAGTGCCCCTGCAATGGAAATATTGTGGGGGCTCTTCCCTTGCATACACCTGCATACCCGGCGGGAGTATCCAGAGGTGCTGTTGAGGCCACTATGGCACTTGGGAGCAGGGAGTGGGACCTGGAGGGACTGGACTGGGAACCCACCTTCCCAGCCTGGAGCTGCCTTCCTTCCCCCAACTGAGTCTGAATACCTCCCCTCACTCATAAGAACATAAGAACGGCCGTACTGGGTCAGACCAAAGGTCCATCTAGCCCAGTATCCTGTCTACCGACAGTGGCCAATGCCAGGTGCCCCAGAGGGAGTGAACCTAACAGGTAATGATCAAGTGATCTCTCTCCTGCCATCCATGTCTACCCTCTGACAAACAGAGTCTAGGAACACTATTCCTTACCCATCGTGGCTAATAGCCATTAATGGACTTAACCTCCATGAATTTATCCAGTTCTCTTTTAAATGCTGTAATAGTCCTAGCCTTCACAACCTCCTCAGGTAAGGAGTTCCACAAGTTGACTGTGCGCTGTGTGAAGAAGAACTTCCTTTTATTTGTTTTAAACCTGCTGCCTATTAGTTTCATTTAGTGACCCCTAGTTCTTGTATTATGGGAATAAGTAAATAACTTTTCCTTATCTACTTTCTCCACATCACTCATAATTTTATATACCTCTATCATGTCCCCCCTTAGTCTCCTCTTTTCCAAGCTGAAAAGTCCTCCTTCTATCCCTCCTTCTACATTCACAGGGAGCTTCCCCCCCCCCACCCCCGCCCCAGATGCTTCAGAGGAACCACCATCTTCATGTGTTGGTATTTCATTTAGGCAGTAGTGCTGACATACAGTGGCTGAATGCAGCCATATTCCCTATAGTCAAAAACGGGCACCTCTAGACTGGAATGAGCTTTCTAAGAGCACCCACCATGTCCTATTTGCAGATATTTTGTATCCATGGGCAGATATTTTCATGAACCCCTTCACTGCTGTTGCACTGGCCTAGTAGCAAGTGCAGTTCACAATCTGGACATAACAGAGATTAGAAGTTCACCTGCCAAAGATCACAGCCCAGCAAGCTAGCAGCCCGCTGGAAACCTTGACACACTGTGTGACAATAATTAGCCCTTATGGAGCGTCTGTCCTCTAAAGTTCTCAGTGCACTTCACACAAAAATTACAGACAGGGAAACTGACAAAGAAGTGGCCTCAGAAATAGGCAGGTCCCAGGCCATTTATATCTTAGTAGATCAAAACTAGGGCCCTTGATTAATCATGGTTAACTCACGCAATTAACTCAAAAAAAAATTAATCGCAATTAATTGCAGCTTTAATAAGACTGTTAAGCAATAGAATACCAATTG